ATATATATATATATATATATATGTTTGTGTGTGTGTGTAAAATAATATATAAATAGTATTTATAATTATACCTAGTATTACAATGTAATAATATTACAATGTTTAAATATATAAATTTGCGTTTGTTTTGTATTTTATTATACGTGTGTGTTTATAATTAGTAATTATGTAATAATCACATTATAATTATCATTATGATAAATTGTTTATTTTTAAGGTCTGGCTGATCTAGTGATCTCTGCCTCTGATTCTTTTTCTCTGCCACCAGGTTTCATGACTTACGTGGTGGAGCCTCTGTTTGCTGAGTGGGCGCGCTTTTCAGACACGCGGCTCTCTCAGACCATGCTTGGCCATTTGGGCCTGAACAAGGCCAGTTGGAGTGCCATGGAGCCAGAGGCATCAGGGAGCTCCGAGGAGGGGGAGTCCGAACCGGGCCGTGCCACAGAAGAGCCCAGTTCAAGAGTCTTATCTCAGGGAAGCCAAGAGTCATGACACCACAGCGCTCGCAGAACACCTCTACTGCCCTCAGCCAAACATCTTACGTCACGCCACCCATCTCCAACCAACCACTGATGATTTGTTTTCTTCTTTTTCGTTCATTCGGTCGATTTAATTTATTTAATTTTAAATGCTCATTTACCCTTCAACATAGATCAATACATAGATACCTCATTTGGCTACTGCTGCAATTTTGTTTTCTTTTAATTATTGTGATGTATTTATTTAACCTTATTTGTTTTTTTTTTCTTTTGGGCGTTACTAATTCAACTCTGATGCTTTGATTAAAGACTGCAAGGGAATGTGGGGTAGGAAGGAACCCCCTCCTATGGCTTTAAAGTGCCATTTTGAAACAATGAATTGCTCTGAAAGTCATTTGAAACACCTTGAGTATTTAAAGGAGAGGCTTTTACAGAGACAATGTGTGTGAAATTGAATGCGCGTGAGTGTGTGCCAGTGCTTCTGCAAATCAATCTTCCTCCTTGTGTACAAAAATACAAATGTGAAGAGCCCAGTCCTTTTGCTGCCTCTGAAGACTGTTTACACATGTTGTTTTCTAACTGAATCATGTTAGTTCTGTGATTATTGCCTTTTAAGCACAGATGTGAAGAACCACTTGTAAGTTGTTTTTCGAAGCCTACTGCTGATGATCAACGCAATCTGTCGGACTGCAACCACATCTGTGTGACGCATCTGATGCCATACGAATGCCATTTGTGCTCCATTGCATCTCTCTCCCCTGTATTTCAGACAATGTGTTGAAGAAACGTCGCTCTGTGAAAGGTGGCAGAGATTAACCCTTTCGACCATGGAAGAAGGATCTTGTCACGGGACAAGTAGCTGAACGGACTCTCCATAGATTTTGCTCAGGTTTTCACCGACCTGCTTATTTGGGAGAAACAAAGAAGTAAAAGGTGCCTTTTGTATGTAGCCACCACCCCTCTCTTTTTCTCTCTCCTCTGTATTTTGTAAAGAAAAATAAGTCCTTCTCAGAATGTCTCGAAGCCACTCTCGTCTCATCGGAAAACTGCTACAAAATGCCTTAAATCTATGCACAAAGCTAAGTGACCAAACCAGCTGTCGTTTTCGTTTTAAACTCATCCCATTGTCCATTTAGTGCACTGTCTGACCCTTTGCCTTTTTGTCGTGGAATTTTTTTCTTTTAATATATGGAGAATTGGTTTAATGATTTGATTTTTAACATTGAACATTCCATTTTTGTGAATTGTTTTGGATTCTGTACAGAACGGACAGTTGTTTTTTGTGCTTCTCTTGATATTTTGAAAGAGAAGAGGTGCTTTATTTTAGGTGATTTGTATTTTTGTTGTAAGTGCTGTAAGACTGTTGATTTAAGAAAAAAAAACTGTTTACAGTTTGTTGTAACAGCCATTTTGGGGAGACGACCTATGTGTCAAGCCATTTTGTAAAGGCTTTGCCGTATAACCTTTTGATACATACTTGTTGCAGTTGCATTTTTGATGAATAAAACCTCACAAAATGTTTCTCTACCGGATAGCATGCAGTCATGCTGTTCTATATGAACTTAATCATGTGATGAGTGTGTCAAAATGTAGCCAAATAGAAGCCTCAATACAGAAATGAAGACACAGATTGACAGTTTTAGGTTTATTCAAGAAATGAAAGTCCATTAAAAATGGTTCTGTAGTGTGAAATAAAATCAACTCATTTAGAAAAATGATCACAACCTATAATAAAACCAAAAATATGTCTCAACTAAGAGATTCCCTTCAATTCTGAGGTACTCTTCCTATGTGCTGGACATTAAATCCAGTATAAATCTTTGAAATTAGAAATCCTGTACTGTAATATAATTCAAATGCACTGACTTTTGGTGCGCAGCAGACATTTTTTTGTTATATGTGCAAAAATACAGACATTTTAAAGGTACAAACACTGTCAAACTATTCTGCTGATAGACTGAAGTCTAATTAAACGGCACTGGACTAAAGATAGCAAGCTTGATACGTCATAGACAAACAAAACTACATTATTCAAGTATTTATTAAACTGGTTAAATAACTACATTACTTCCAGAACCATATCATGTAAATGTTCCAAAATAATAAATTAGAAGCTTAAAAGGATTTTAAATGAGCTCTCATTAAAGAATTCTTCAACTACTGACAGCACCATCTAAACCTTATTTATGATCACAAAAGTGTGGTTCATAATTGCTATAGTGGTTACATGACAGAAAAGCCTGAAGTAACTAAAACAAAAAGTATGAACTGTACCTTTGAAGTAGACAACTTCTGTGCAAACAGGTGTTCAAAATACACATAAAACTACTGATAAAGAACAATCCATACACTTTGGTGTTTTCATTTAACGTTATCCCTTCAAATGAGAGGAATCCAGCAAGGTTGAATACTTGCACTGTTGACCTTCCAACAGATCCAAATAAATCCACATATAAAATCATACATAAAACCCAACAAAAAGAAGGCATTTCTCACATAACTGGCATTAATGATGGGACTGGCTTTTGTACAAGATGCATTGATAGAGTTGAACTTTTCAAAGTGCAAAATTACATAGATATCCAATAGGGAAACCATATTGACTGCATAGTGTTTGGCATTTGCATGCTCACCTAAATGAACACTAACAACATTTTGAGGGCTAACAAGAAAAGTTAGCCGGTTTTTGAAAATTACGAGACATCAGGTTAACTACATTAACCTGCTCAGATGAGTTGCTCCATCCTAGTACAGTTTCCTCCTTCCAGTTGATTTTAACATATGCTGTCCAAACTGCAAAAGCAATGGCACAAAGTGACTATGGCACTATGACAATATACATCATTTTTTCAAGTGATTTCTCTTACCTCTGGTGTTTCTACATGGGTCTTATTCTCAGGATCTATCAAGTTAAAGTTGCCATCACATTCACTATCGCTCCGGTAGCGGTGAGCGAACTTGCGTTTCAGGGCCTCTGCGATTAATGCTGCAGCGTCTGTGGGCTCAACAGGTTTTGGTTTTGTGTCCACTTGATGACTGGGAATGAAAGGACAAATGAACTCTATTGGTAAGTGTTTACAATCAGCTTTGTATGCCATCACTGTCCAGATAAAGCCCTGTAACATTCACCTCTTAACTGAGCGCAGCTTCACTTTGCCTATGTCTTTGAGTACGTCTAGCATGTTGGGAAGCTCTGTCTTTTTAGGTGCCGAGTCCAGTACGGTCTTCTCTTCAATCTTTTTCCCACGCCGCTCTCGGATGAGATCAATGGCGGAATAGCTCCTCTGCATGCCGGGGCATGGAGGAGGAGGTGGTGGAGGAGGAACTGGAGTCATTGGTGGCGCTTGGGGCACATGGGGACCACCAGGCGCTGGAGCTGAAACAATGCAAAAATTGCGACTTTAAATGGGTAAAAAGTAGTAATACTAGCAGAGTGCCATTTTATGTCTATATATTTAAAAAAAAAAAAGGCCAGAAACATAACTTATGCAAGTACGTCAACACTTTGCAAGCAAACATGTATCGTACAAGCTTAACGTTAACATCACTGTGGCATATATTTGGGGCATAAAGAACAACTATCCAGTGTTGTTGTTAAATATAACTAATTAACAATTAATCAACGTTGTGAATAAATCTATTTTTTGATACATTTGCAAGTACTGGTACTGTGTGGGATTCATTCGTTTCTGCTGTTAAATAGAACTAAAAATATTAAAACTATTTTTTTGTTCATTGAAATAAAGCTGAGAAAATCAGAAAATATGAAAAACATCTAACAGGGTTTCTGCAGGTTTTGTGAAGGTAAAGCTAAGGCCTTTTTAAGACCAACTAAAGACAATTTATGGAATAAATTGAAAGGGACACAAAGAAATCAATCACAATGAAGTGAGTATAATTAAAACACAAACAAATATCTGCCTACAGGGTCAGAAACATTACCTTTTCAAAGGGAAAACAAGTTTATTTTTCTTACCCATTGACAGACATTTGTTATTGTTTCAAGCATAAACCCACTTAATTTTGTTACATTTCTCAGAAAACAAGAATTTATATCTTCATTTTGCATCTCAAGTAAATGTATCTTGATTCAAGGAAGTTAAGATTTTCTACTGGAAAACAAAAAAATACTGAGTAAGATATTCTTTTTTTTTTTTTTTTGCAATGCATGCAACATTTAATGCCATGACTTTATAAATGTAAGACTTTTTTCTCTGATTTAAAACTACAAATTAAAATGTAAACTACAAATATAAAAATAAAAGCTACTTCAAAATACTAATAAATACTGAAATAGTATATACTAATAATACTAAAGTAGCACTGCAACTAACCTGTGGATTGAGCGCTGTGCTCCTGTGCCTGAACGATCTGTGCGATTTGCACTCTGAGTTTGGCCAGCTCAGTCTCCAGAGCACTGATTTTCTGAATGGCTTCATCGTTGATGATCGTCTGACTCTGTGGTGCAGGTTCAGCCTGGTGCACGCTGGGTAATGACCGCTGACGTCTCAGGGGTCTGCACTGCTGGGTACGGAAAAACAACCCAGAATCTGTCTCAAACCTGCAGGGCATACAGATACATACATGATAATTACGACACTCAAATTTCTGTTTTCTAAATCAATTTAGAAATATTTTCACCTGTTTCTGCCAGCGCCATCGCTCTCTTCTCTGTCCATCCAGCCCACATCACTGAGTGTGACCACAAGTCCATTTGGCCCATTTGAACTGTTGAGGAAACTTGCTCCTGCAGTGAATGGATGAAGCTACACGACCCAAAGACAGTTTAAAGGACAGTTAATAATTACAACACCTGCTCAGGGCACTTTACAAGTCTCACAACAATGACAAACAAACCCTCACAGACACTCAAGCACTCAAACAATGTCAGAACTAGCCTACAACAGCAGAACAAGTGCCAAATGTTTTTACAGCCACGGCAAAGTAAACAGCATCAGGGAAACCAGTTATCTCCTAGCGATTAATGAAGCAATTAGAACATTACAATGTCATTTAGCTCCTTTATCAAGAGGAAATCAATATTAATGCCAGTATTTTATTAAAAAAATAAGCACTTCTAAACTTTTTTAAAGAGTTCTTGGCCTAAATTTTTCAACAATGATCCAGAGAACTGACCTAGAGCAGACATGCTGCATTCCTGACATACAGGACAGCTGGAAGGAAGGGCAGAGAAGAGAGAAACAGAGACAGTAATAAAAGTTTCAAGGTCAGTTTAATGTCATCATACTTTTGTTTTAAAGGTTAGACGGTAGGAAAAGGCTAGATTAGATATTGTGAGTTGAAACCTGTCCCAGATTCATGATTGTTTATTGTCAGCACACTGATGGAATCAAAACAGAACAGGACAGAAATATGATAATATGGGAGAGATGAAAAATGAAAGGCCAAAGATGGAGGGTGTTAAAGGTTTTGAGATGTAAAAATGTAATAAAGGTAGAAAACACTGATAATAATGGAATGAAAATCAATGAAGACTACCTGAAAATACTAAAATAGAAAATATAATACTGCAGATATTTAAAAACATAACAGGCACATACAAATACAAATAAGCACAAAATAGTTTGTAAAGATTATTGTCTGTTGAAATAATTACAAACATTTTGAGATATTCTTTCATTTATATGTTTTGACATTTGAATGAACAAAAACTGACATATTACCTGAAAATGGACACGAGGGCAGGGCGCTAAGGGAAGATTTGTGGCAATTCTTCTGACAATACTTCTGGATGACCCATAAGACTTTGACGATGATCCAAAAGCCTAAAAGAGACATAAAGATGAACATTCTTCCAATCATCAATAGCGCGAACTGTACAATTCTGTATATCTTACCAGGTCCATTTCTATCCGTCTATGATTTCCACTCATCTTGTAACTTCAATTTTTTTTTCTTAATTTGCAAGAAAAGACTGAGGTACTAAACATTTTTCTAGTAGTTTCTTCGTAAAGCACATGAGTGTGTGTCGCTAATAACTTAAATACCGCAAACAGAGGACTAACTTTACCACAAAGGTTAAAGGCGCTAAAACCCAAGCGTTATTGTTTTTTGTGTGTGTGTGTGTGTTATATTAAAGGCGCTCTTAGTTGTTTACAAAAGTTGTCGCAATTTCTAACAGGACATTACAAGAAAATATCGATGTTTTACCGTGTAAACGGCAGTGTTAAAGACTAGTAGGATCCTGGCTGTGCTACGCTAATGCTATCCAGCTGTTACCTGTGTTTTTCCCATAGACTGTAGGGTAAGAAGGGCGGGACTCAACAGTATTGGCCAATAGAGTTCAAGGGTGGTCGGTGGTCCTAGGAGTACGGAGTCAACCACTGGTTTGGAGTGGTGGATTGACAATACAACTGGCCAATCATAAGCGAGTTATGACTCACAGGCACGAGGCATGCATTAGAATGCTTCCATGGAATGGATTTGCTGTATTTTAGTGGTGCTTGGTTGGCCGGTGACCGGTTTAAAAAGAAGACAATTTTATGTTATTAATTTAAATAAATAATAAAAAAGATTGGTTAAACATTGGTTATTTGGAAACCATTTAAAATGTTTACTTAAATAAAATCGTATCAAACCTGTTTATATTTATTTATTTTTGCCTCGCCCTTAAATTGTTTTATGTATTGTACTGGCTCATAGGCGTAGCTTGACGTTTGAGTTTGGGGGGGCCAAACCGAACCGGTGGATTTGGTCAGACGTACTTTTAAACACATTTTAGTTTTGCTATAATAAAATCTACATATTCACATAGAGCAGTGGCAAGTGCGTGAGGTTGTCATGGTAACCACATACATTGCCCACGAATTACAGCTGCGCTTCTATTTTGCCACACTAAACTTAGCAATAAACACGTTTAAAATGCACAATAAACATGTCTGTCAAAACGATCTCAAAGGAGGCTTTTATTAAGCAAATCAAGGAGTGAATTACTCATCCTCTGTTTTTAAAACAGACATTTGTTGGGCTTGATTCAAGTTAATGCACAATGAGGCGCACACTTTTTATTTAGTCTTATTGAATAGACGATAAACAGTTTATATTCTAAAATCTATTTAAAGGTTGTGTTCTGTGAAAATTAAATAACATTTGGATGTAAATGGTCGGCATAAAAGTAGTGTGCGGCTAAACCGGCTGCGTCCTGTGGATCACCTTTATCTGATTGTCCGGGTCCGGAATCATTAAGCACGGCATTAATATCTTCATCAGAGTTTTTCGTTGTCTCCAGATTTCTCTGCAATTCGTGTATGTTGTTAAAAACGCGGAACATCATTTTATTCCACACAACAGGCAAGCATTACCGTTAAGTCTATTATCCACCAAAATGCAGATTCGTCACGTGACAATTCTTACGCAAATGAGATTGAGGGAGACGTTAAGTTTGTTTTAATTTATTAATTTACTTACAATAACAATTTAAAATGTATTAACTTTTACATGTATTATTAACTGCATTATATGCAGTTTTACTTCACAGAAAAAACTATATCAATAAATATTTTGTACAATTCTTAAATCGCTGTGGGGGAGCCAGGCCCCCCTGGCCCCCCCCACAAGCTACGCCCATGCCTACCACCTCTTAAATCGCTATGGGGGAGCCAGGCCCCCCCACAAGCTACGTCCATATAAAAAAGGCACATTGAGAAATTGTAATACACGTTTCCCCTGTTTTTCCAGATATCACTGTCATCAGAACTAGACAATTTTTATCTGCTAGTCTACATTTTAAAGGTGAAATACGATTGTTTTTATGTTTCTGTTCTGCCTTCGAAATTCCATTTGTTTTGCCGTGTATTTTAAAGTGATTATTTATTTTAGTATTGCCCCAATATAAATAAAATATATGAATAGTATTTTACTTGCTTCCTTGGTCCTGATGCTTTCTTTGTATTTTAAAAAACAATAACAATATCCAAATAAACACATACTTTAGTAAGTTTTAGTTCAGAGTTGAAACAATTCTATAATTTGCTTCATATTGTATATATCACGGCTATTATGAGAAATTAACCTTGTCTCGTAGTAAAACCCTTTCTAATTGGTCGAGAACGCATGGCGTCATAGTCCACATCCTCCAATCAGTCTGTCTAAATCCAGGAAGTGTTGTAAAGGGTGCTAAAAACTTCGCAGATAATGGGCAAATATGCCTGACCAGAACAGCTGTCATAGAGATTTTTAACCATATTCACTGTCGTCATTACACAAGCTACATCCAATTGCGTATCCATCAGCACTTCATTTGTCGGCGGGTTTGATCCTTTGACTGGACAGGATCATCTGAAGCGAGGAGTCGTCCTGGGCGTGTTTGCTGTAAGGTTATGCGTGGACAACAGTGCCACAACACACACAAGGTTAACAAGATAGATACCATGCACATCAGAATCAAATACACTGATAATACATTTATTATTATGTTTTGGATTCATATAGCTGTATATTTATATGCGTCCTGATAGAAATAGATTCCGCCTTTCTCTTTCTGCGTGCTGGTATTGTTTTTGTTCTTGTTCATAGAAAGACATTCATATCCACATGTATTGATGTCTGTAGACTAAATATGACTGAGAAATCAGCGCCAAATGTTTGCTTTTACATGCAGTTTTATGACTCATATGAGAATTCAGATTGCCATTGTCTTGTGATGCGGTGTCAATGTTAGCCGGTTAGCACAGGGCCCGTTTAAAGGCCACGTTATGCTATGTTGTGCTATGTGAATCAGACATGACCATCATGGGTCATTCAGTTCACTATGAATGAAAGCCAATAATAAGTCCTGTGTATAGAGATCATATGTAAATCATTGCGATAGGACGCGCGACAATGTATAGTGACGTCAGACAATAAATCTCAGATTCGTGTTCTTTTTTGTTTAGATAATACAGTTACAAAAAATTGATAATGTGTATATAAAAAAAATAATTAAGATACCAGAGGTTGAGCAGACAGAAACTTTTAATCATTTTTTTATGTAATTCAGTTTATACCAGCTTTTATGTTGTTTTTTATGATAAACCTGTGCTTTCTGTCATTGAGAGCATGTTCCCCAGTATCAGAAGTAATCCCGTTCTGATTTTATTCCCCCTCAGCTAAGATCTGTGTACTTTATGTGCATGGCCCTTGGTGTGGGAGCACCATGAGTGGGGAGCCTGATGCCTTGGCTGTGGTGAATCAGCTGAGGGACTTAGCTGCTGACCCCCTCAACAGACGAGCTATTGTTGAAGATCAGGGCTGCTTGTCAGGCCTCATTCTCTTCTTCGACCACCCCAATCCACAAGTCGTCTACTCTGCGCTATTGGTAAGATTCTGTTTGTGAACCATTTGCAGACGGTCTTTCTTTCTATGGTTTACTGCCATGTTAGCATAGTGGTAGTTAAGGGTTCAAATTAGGAGTCTTTATTAACTTAAAGATAGATGATGACGATAGTGTTCCAGTAAGAACATTTATTATAATAATCATATGGCGATATTCTCAAACAATCAGTAATGTTTTGATAGCTAAACTGTTTCAATTTTTCTGGGAAATCTTATAAGTGGTATATTTATAGTTTACTGTAAACGATTTCAGCTTCAACTTCAATTCAGATATCTCAGTATAAAGCATAATAGACAGCATCTACAACTTTAGAATTTCCCTGCTATAATGTCAAGTTATTGAATTACACCTCCAAACATTTTTACGTTTTCCAAGTTATTATATTTGATATGAAAATCATTTCAGATATTATTTATAATGATATTATTGTTTCAAACAAATAGATTTGATATAAATAATAATAATAATTATTATTATTAAACTCATACTTTGATACAATTTCTTAGATATCAAGGGATGCATATCTACCAATCAGATCTAGCAAAGCCCATTCAGACTTGTCACATGACTGCCACCTGCTATACTTGTAACTAATAATAATTTTATATATTATTATAATTATTATTTAATTGTTGGTATTATTTATTATTTTATTATTATTATACTTTGTTTGATATCAAGGTATTTGTATCAACCAATCAGATCACTCATTGCCCACCCAGCTGTCCTTAGACACATCACATGACTGCCACCTGCTGTCCGGTATTGTCACAATGCTTAGCCTAACTTCTACAGGAATGACTTGGTGTATAACCCAAAATATTTAATGTCATAATGCTTTTAAATCCTTAAACTTTAAGCCCAGGTTTAAATTAGATTTTGAACCCCAGAATTTCAATGTGCCCTCTGAGTTTTGGGCCCCACTTTGTTTTATCTCTTTCAGAAGGACATCACACCTGTGGAGACATTTGGACAATAATGGAATAACACATTTCTTTTACACACACACACACACACACACACACACACACACACACACACACACACAGACACAGTAACTCTGCCCCATTGAAATAAAAATGTTTAGCTTGAATAAAGAATGAATAAAGAAAAAAAAAACTCACATTTTACCTGGGGGACAGAGAAACCATGTCTTCACGTTATTTCAGTAGCTTCTCAAATGAGATGTTTAAGATCTGTATCTATCTCTAAGACTGTCTAAATCCCGAGGACGACGGCGGATCAGTGGATTGTGACGGTATGGCAGAAGTAAGTCGCTCCCGTCACGCTGCCACAAAACATGAAGGCAACACGAGCTCGCTTTGCACTTTCCTGCAGAAAACCTCATCCTGCTGCTTTAGTTGAAGTGAATGTGTGTGGTTGGCAGATTTAAAGCACATGAGAAAGGTCGTCCTGTCATAAGCAGATTTGTCTGTTTTGACATTAAACGGGAGTGATGATGCAAGCTTGCTGTTGAAGCGTAATGCGAACTGTCAAGCAACCTGATGTAGTGCACGATTGCATTCGTTAATGTCCAGCAGAGGTCAGTCGAAGACACCAGAGAGAATATCATACCGTTATAGACATTGAGGAGTTCATGTTCAGTGGCCATGTTCAGAATATTGGTCAATCAATATGGATTTTTCATATTTCTTATACATTTACCTGGCAAAAAGGGAAAATGAATCATAACTTAGGGCTCAGCAGTAAAGATGGTATGAGAGCCAGTGTGAGAGTTTAGCTTTTTGTTTGTTTGAAGAAGGTAATACTTTTATTCAGCAAAGATGCATAAAAATTTTTAAAAGTGACAGTAAAGACATTTTTAATGTTACAAAATATTTGTTTCAAAGAATGCTGTTCCTTTAAACTTTCTATTCATCAAAGATTCCACAAAATAAATAATTAAGCAACTGTTTTCAATGTTAATAATAATAATAATAATAGTTTATTCCATACCAAATCAGCATATTAGAATGACAAAATTAAAATTCAACTTTCCATCATGGGATTAAATATATTTAAAAAATCTTAATATGCAAAAAAAATTCTTTTTTTGAATTCTTTTTCTTATTACTATTTCTGTTGCATTTTTGGTCAAATAAATGCAAGCTTGGTGGGCATAAGAGACTTATTTTAAAAGATTACTGACCCCAAATCTTTGAATGATATTGTAAATCTCACAAAATATTATATGAGCTGGCTAATGTAGATTTTGTTGAAACTGAGGATTAGCACCATTTTCTAGTAAAATTGTTTATATATTTATAGATGTCATATATGTACATTATTGCTGTTTCATTAAAAACTATCAAATTATTTAATAAATGTGATGTTTATATAATAATAATAATAATTTTAACAACAACGGTTTGTTACATAACAATATTAATAATAAAGTAGTATTATTTTATATAACAATAAACCAATAATAATATTTAACTTTTTATGACACAAATTTGTTTTGTGATGAAGCAAATAGTGCCAACGCAAATCTGATTTACTGCAAAAAAAAAAAAAAACTTATTGATGAGCCCTCTTTCTTGTGCATTAGAAAGCATGAAACTCAGGGTTTCTTTTACCTCATATGTCAAACAGCACTGTAGATGCCAACTGATTCTTTAAATATTCATACAACTGCATGTTTTTGACACCCACATGGCTAAGTATAGAGGCGCAGGATCCATGTATGTGTGTATATTATCTGCAGTTCAGGCTTATTTCGAGTGCGAAAGTCTACAGGCTTTTAGACGGCGAGTGCCTTCTGTTTACGTGGAACCTCACAGACAGAAGTGCCAATGGTTGGCAGAGAGCTGCGTATCCTTCTCTCAGGGTGACTCCCTTCGATTCACCAGTCACTTCAGTTAGCACAGACGCCATCAAGGAGTGCCCTGCAGTTCCACAAGCTGCCCGTCACAATTTCCGGCACAACAATTTTGGGTAGAGGTCGTGTATCGCCCCAGTCTGTGAAATTTTATGGCTAGAGGAAGTGAAGGAATCCCTCATCACCCCTGATGACACCGCAGATCTCAGAAAAAAGCTATGTTAGGTTTTTTGATGAATGTTCAGTGTTTTCTCACATTGTGTCTTTAATACTAGCTATTATTTTGCAGCTCAATAAAGCTATTAATGTATAAAATTACAGTAGTAGTAAGGAAATAGTTTTCCTTTAACTCATTTCCCGCCCCAGATTTTTATTCACATATTTTCCAGAGTTTATTTTATAATACCTAACAGTATGTATTTATGTATTTATTTATACATTTATGAATGTATGCATGCATTTTTAATTGTTTTTATTTTATTAAATTTTATTTATGTGTCCTTACGTTATAAATGCTTTCTTGTCATTTCATTTGATGGCAGACATAATATAGTTTAATGTGTTACTTTTACATCTCATTTCTTATTGCTTAATGGGCAACATCCCCAGAAAGTTTTATTTTATTTTGTATTTTGTTTATTAGTTTATTTTAAATTATTGTCTCCAATACAGTATTATTAGTGTGCAGTAACAGTATTTTTTTTTTGCTTGTCTCACTATGATGCATCAATCTCTTCATTTTAAAACTGATTTTAGTTAGGTTCAATATGCATTAGTTTACTTGTGATATTAAACCATATGGAATGCACGACACTAGATTAATCACAGTATTGTCTGTGCTAAAGGTTAGTTGGTTCAAGCTCCATCAGACTGACTTTTCTCCAGCTCTCATGCTGGCAGATCCCCCCCCCCGCACAGATCTATGTCGTGTCCCCTTGTCTGCTGGAGGGATGACCTTTTCAAATATCAGCACCGACAAGTACTGAAATGTACAATACATGACATGAGCATATTTGCTCCGTTATTTATTTGTTCATCAACAGTGGCCGTTTTCGTTCGTTTTTTCATCTGTTGTGATTCCTATAGTGATCTGTGATGTGTTTCACTAGGGGCACGTCGCCAGGCGAGACCAAGCTGCTAGCTTCTGAGATCTACGAGATCCTGCAGAACTCTAGCAGCGCAGAAGGCGAACAGGCAGAAGCAGCTGCCTCTTGCAGAAAAAAAGCCCAATTTTTCCTGGGCTCAACGAACAAACGGGCCAAAACGGTGGTGCTTCAGATCGACGGGCTTGATGATTCGGTAACTGCAGTCAAACAGCTTGTAATGGAACCCGATTAATCAGAGCGTATGGAGATATTTGGTATTGCACAATTTGGCACTTTGTCTCTCTTTATGTCAGGCTCGGAGGAGTCTTTGTGAAGAAGCCCTGCTAAAGATCAAAGGTGTCATCAGCTTTACCTTCCAGATGGCTGTGAAGAGATGTGTGGTGAGGATCCGTTCAGACTTGAAGGCCGAGGTGAGTTTACAGTCTAGCACAATCTATATGACCATCTACAGACTGCGTAAGAATGCCAGTGAAGTGTATTAAAAAAAATAAATAAAATGTATACATTTAAAGTGCCAGGTTTGGACGTCTGTGAACATTTTTCAGTAATGACATAAAGAATAATTAAATCCAGTTTGAAAGAAGTGATGCTTAAGAAATGAATCTCACTTAATGGATCAGAGATGCTACTAGAGAATCTATTTCAGCATTCTCATACTGTTTCTTCATTTTTCAGGCGTTGGGAACTGCTATAGCTTCAACCAAAGTCATGAAGGCACAGCATGTAGTGAAGGGGGAAGATGGATCGGATGTGAGTAAATCAAATGAACAGATCTCTGGTCAGAATGCACACAATAAATAGACGGTTGAACAAAGCATGAAAATAGTCATCTACTCACCTTCACATCACTTTACGAAACTAGACCACTTTTCGAATCTGGACCACTTTCCTTTTTTTGCTTGGAAATGTCTTTTTTTTTTTTTTTTTTTTTTTTCCTTTTAAATCCATACAATGGAAGTCAATGGTAACCAAAAAAGTTTGGTTATCAACATTCTTCAAATTATCTTCTTTTGTGTTCCTCTTACAGGTTTTTCCATGTAAAATCAGTTAAATCATTCCAAGTCACTGTTTTCTTGTTATGTGAGGTATTCTTTTGAGTCAGGTGCTGCGTTTAATGTAGTTGGTTGCCTCTACCTGAAGATGTTAGCCGATGCTGTCTGCGTCTGGGTAATGCATTTCGACATGTTGAGGGTGAACCCTGCTACACTCGTCCCATCAGAAGCTTTACTCATTTTCCCCTCATCACATGATCACTCAGGATGTCCCTCTGCCCCGAAACCGTGTCAGAGGGCCCTGGAGACACAGACATAACACACTCTTGCATGCAGATGCAAATAGGCACTGTGTGGTAATTAAACAAAAATGTGTCCTCTCTGGTTGAATTGGAAGGGCAATGTCCACCTGCAGCGGGATAGTGATGACCTCCGGTGGCCGTCATCCCGGAGGTCTTGGACACTGCTTTACTATGCACTTCCTCCTTAAACCAGCTGGTGGCACAATTGATTGAGTAATGGTCTTATTGATAGCACTGTTTTGCATTGAACAGACACAAATGAAAAGCTTTGTTTTAAGAAAAACAGCAATATAGTTAGTAGGGCTGGACTAATATAAGTAAAAATATTATGTCTTATAAATTTTGATGATACTTGATGTATTTGCTTTAAAATAAAATAATAGAAATTGGTGTAGAAACAATTTTCCATCTGAAATTGCTAGTAAATTTCACAATTACAAAGAAAGGCAAGTAACACATTGAAGTATATTTTACAGTCTACTATTAGCATGAATAAGGACAATAATATTAAAATTAAAAAAAATTATTTTTTCATGTGCACCAACATTTTTGTTCCAAAAAAGATTATAATTCCTGAATGCCTCATGAGGGCTTCCTTAACCATTTTTGAGTGATGATGCAAAATAAGTAATTGGATTATTGTTATGAACCAGTTCACTGAAATAGACAAAGTTCAAAGAATTGACTCATTTTAATGATGGTTAAAGACCCAAATTAATCACATTTTTTTCTTCTGTGAATGCAACCCTTTTTGAGACAGGAAGTTGGGGCAGAATGTATCTTTCTGTTTTTGTGTGTCTTATTCCACCTAAAAATAATTTTGAATATTAAGTATAAGTAAGTAATTTATATGTATCTGATATATCGCTTAGACTTAATAATTCTTTCATTTTGTATCATAAAGATGGTTAGTTTGTTTTGGCTGCAAATTTATATATTTTTTATTTTGTATATATATAATATATAAATCATGTAATTCTGCTTGCAAGCTTAGAAATTATAACAAAATGGGTCATTGTTCCCATTGCTTTCTTTCCCTCCCATCCAGATTGTAATCCCATTCCAAGGGGACTCTGATGTGGTGGTCGAGCAGAACATAAGTTTGCCGGATTATCTGCCTGAGGACGAGAGCCCGTCTCAGGAGCAGTACAAGGCTGTGACACGACTGGGCTCCGTGCAGGATGGCGCGAGCTGGCTGAGCACGGCCGCCAACTTCCTGTCCCGCTCATTTTACTGGTGACCCCATGACTCCCCGCATGCCCCGCCCCTTTACAACCCGCCCTCGACGTGCCAGACTGCCAAGCGCATCCGCAATAAACGTATAACCTTGTTCCAACTATAAAAAAGGCTACAACAGGCGGCTGTAAATGGTACGCGATCCAACCTGCTCCTGAAACTCATGTTAGCTCTGCATACGCACCTCACGAGACACTAAAACCTGAGAGCAACCGGGAGAAGTTCACAGAAAGCATTTCATGTGTATCTGCTCTCTCTTATTCACCTTTTATGTTTGGTCATGGGAAGGTTTTCAAACGATGCGCCCCAGATTCTCCTTGCAGGTTTGTTTCTGTTGAGACTAAACAACGCCTTGGGGGTTTCGCCAGGCGGGTCGTACCTTGAGGTTTTCTAAATTTCTACAAATTTGGGTGCTTTCTGATGTGTTCTAACCCTTCATCTCAGCTTTCTTGTACATTTTAAACGATTTTTTTGTTTGTTTTTCAATTATTTGATAATCCTAATATTACTTTATTCATCAGCACTTTTCAAAGCATGCATATTTTTTTGAACTGTGTGTGTCTTTGCTATGTAGCTTGTTGATTAATTTTCTCGGTTTTAAATCCTCTTTATTTGCTTCGTCTGAACTTCTAAAGCCTTCTGAAGACGTGATTTTTAGTTTTGAAATGTGTAGTGATGGTTCACTCTTCCTCACAGAGCTCATTTCACATAAAACATAATTAAAACACCTGCACTGGTTGGTGTGCATTAATAATAATTAACGGTTTAACGCCTCCAGTAAAGGGAAGCCACCAGGAAATAGCTGTTACTATGTGTGTAATGCTAACCTTTTATGTTACAGCATGTGCCAAACACCAGATAACCTTCTTTACACTAGCAAAATATGTTGTAAAATAGCTCTGACCCTTTAGGAATTGATATTATAAACTTTTTTTTTTTTTTTGTACCTTTCTTAAATGTCAATGCCGTTTTCCTTTATGCCATGCTGACTATTTATAAAATGATTTTTTTTTGTGTGGGAGTGTGTGTATTCCTAAATACCATAAATCTGAATGTTTTGTTCAGGGCCTTTCATACACATGGTCATTTTTAATGTGGGTTTTTGCTAGCCAAAAGTATGATCCAGTTTCTGACCGGTTATGTGCCCGTTACCTCTGCATGACCATCACCCCTTGAGATTTCCCTGACCGACGGTGTCTTTTAACAGTTTAGATAATCAACTGACCTCACATATTGCATTCAGGACGTTCAGTCCGCTCAGGGATGTGTGTACGTTGTCCTGCAACTGATGGTCTCATGTACGTCGCAGTTTAACACCGGTGCGTTCCCAAAAGGAGACCTACACACATCGATATCAAAATGAGTTAAACCAGTATATGTCCTTTCCTAAATGTACCTTTCGTTTTATTTTTCACCTTATGCTGGAAAACTTGGGTTGTCGTAAGGTATCAGTGTTTGCACCCTTTTGTATTTTTCCTCATAATCAGCAATGCTTTAAGACTGTTTTTTAATTTGCATCATGTCGGTTCATGTTGAGGATTTGTTACATAGACGGCATTAGTGTATAGAATTGAATCACAAAGTGGCACGCTTTTGGTTGGGTTTAAGATGAGATAGAGGCCATCAGTGTTATATTTATGAACAAAATCCAAATTGAATTAAGTTTAGCATTTTCTGTATTTTTATTTCCCTCATTTTGTACTGTATACCATCTTTCCCTGAAGCATCTTAAGTTGCTGCTCACTGTTATTCCAAGAACACAGAACCAGAGCCCATGGCAGATGGTAGATTTTAGTAGCTTCTCATGTACAGTGCATATTTGCTGTTACATACAAAGAGTTTTAGGACACGATTCTTGGTTGTTCACAGTAATGACAAGGATTATTAAATGGACAAAATAAATTTGTATTGTTGTGTTTTGTTTTCATTGGAAATTGTGTTTCATTAGCCTCTGTGGCACCAATCTGTAATGGCAACATTTGTATTTTTTATGATTTGAGCTGAATGCTCATGGTCACCAACAAGAAGTGCCCACGATGCTGATGATTACGTCAGTTTACACGTGAAAGCTTCTTACTATGAATTAAATGTGTACTACTATGGCTTTAAAGATTTCAAACATGTAAAACTCAACACCACCTGCTGTTGATTAACTAATAATTCTGGCTCATCCCTCAGTTTGTAAAAACAGATTTTATTTACAGTAATGGGGCAAGGCATTCCAGAAAAGTGGAGCTTTTATTTGTCACATAGTATTTATATATATATATAAATTTTTTTTTTTTTTTTCTCAAACAAAAATGATGTGCTAGACTGATACAGGTGCATCTCAATAAATTAGAATGTCGTGGAAAAGTTCATTTATTTCAGTAATTCAACTCAAATTGTGAAACTCGTGTATTAAATAAATTCAATGCACACAGACTGAAGTAGTTTAAGTCTTTGGTTCTTTTAATTGTGATGATTTTGGCTCACATTTAACAAAAACCCACCAATTCACTATCTCAACAAATTAGAATACTTCAGAAGACCAATAAAAAAAACATTTTTAGTGAATAGTTGGCCTTCTGGAAAGTATGTTCATTTACTCAATACTTGGTAGGGGCTCCTTTTGCTTTAATTACTGCCTCAATTCCGCGTGGCATGGAGGTGATCAGTTTGTGGCACTACTGAGGTGGTATGGAAGCCCAGGTTTCTTTGACAGTGGCCTTCAGCTCATCTGCATTTTTTGGTCTCTTGTTTCTCATTTTCCTCTTGACAATACCCCATAGATTCTCTATGGGGTTCAGACTTCCTATATGGTAAGTCATTTTTATACTGATATAGATAGTGAATTGGTGGGTTTTTGTTAAATGTGAGCCAAAATCATCACAATTAAAAGAACCAAAGATTTAAACTACTTCAGTCTGTGTGCATTGAATTTATTTAATACACGAGTTTCACAATTTGAGTTGAATTACTGAAATAAATTAATTTTTCCACGACATTCTAATTTATTGAGATGCACCTGTATATGTTGGCCAGGCCGATTAATCGGCTACTATTTAGCCATTTCAAGATTCTAATATGTCCATTTGGCCAATTAACAGAGGTGTTTATCACTATACTTTGTCAGTTCCAAATTTTACTGACAGCTTTGTGAATTTTTATTTAATGTTGTGTAAAATAATATAAAATAAGATTTCATTTTATTAATGTTATGCATGATTATGCACTAACTGTCAATTGAATTGTATTAATAATTTAAATGATTAATAAATTCAATTAATTATCAATATCAGTTACATTACCGTTCACAAGTTTGGGGTATGTAAGATTTTAATGGTTTTATAAAGTCTTATGTTTACCAAGGCTGCATTTATTTGATACAATAAAACGGTAATATTCTGAAATATTATTAAAATGTAAAAAAACAGTTCTCTATTTGAATAAATTTTTATTCCACTGATGGCAAAGATGAATTTTCAGTATCATTACTCCAGTCTTCAGTGTCACATGATTCTTCAGAAATCATTCTAATGTGCTGATTTGCTGCTCAAGAAACATTTCTCATTATTATAAATGTTGAAAACGGCTGTGCTGCTGAATATTTTTGCAGTAACAGTGTGATTCTTACAATTCTTTGATGAACAAAGAACAGAATACAAAAGAACAGACTTTATTTTAAATAGAATTGTTTTGTAACAATGTAAAAGTGTTTGCTGTTTTTTTTAATGCATCCTTGCTAATATTATTATTATTTAAAAAGAAAATCTTACTGACTCCAAACTTTTGAACGATAGTGTGTAGTTGTATTTAATTATGTTATGGCACAAACCCATATACTCAGCCACTTCACAAATTATTATTTGTTATTTGAGCTGTAAAGCTGCCTTTTAGCAGTTCGACTACTTTTATTATGCATTAGCGATGCAACATTACGCAACTCTCAATTTAAGTCTAGCTATACTTTTTAAAACTGTACATAATGTGCATAAATATTTACAGTGCCTTGCCCTATAGATGTCCATTTGCATTGCTGTAAATGCAGTTTTTGCTTATTTAAAACAAGGGTCCAACCTCCAGGCCGGGGGGCACTACCAGCATCACCATGGCAGCTGAATGTGCTGAGGCCTGCAGCAGTAGAAGAAGAGAAAGAGAGTCTGTTCTGTTCATGATGATGGGTGTAAACAGCCGTAAGGGTCGCTCCACCTCACCGGCCCTGCTTAGACAGCAGAGATGTGCATGGCCAACTATGATTCTATACCGCCAATGGCATTAGATCACCAAGCTTAAATTGGTAAATCAACACGTTCCCAGTCCAGATTCCTGAATTTTAATGGGTAGTCCATGCTCCCTGTACAGGGAGATATCAGGACAAAGTCATTCTGCTGTGCTCCTCTTGTGAAGGCCATGCAGAGAGAAAGCAGCAGGAAACCCCATCAATCATCACAGTGCACCTTATCCAACATACACACCTTCATCTCTGTCTGAAAGACCCTGACAACACTATCGCGATGTGAAGTGGGTCAGATACCTCAGCTGGGTCACAGGCCTAGAAGACACGCATATGGTGACTATACTGTGCTCGTATGGCAAGTTTAGCTGGGGGTAATTGTGTTAGTATTATGTGACTCTATTGATAGCTTTCAGTCACGTTACCGACTCGAAGTTCTGGAGGGCAAAACATCCATAGAACTGCAGCACAAGCCTGTCAATTTTCCATCTGTTTCACAGCCGCAAATATTTAGATCACCTCTCAAAAGAATAAAACAAAGGTATGTGAACAAAATGCAAGTTTTGGCCATTTGCAATCCATATTAAGCGCCCACGGCGATATTTCAATCATTAAACAGTGCGACAAACGTCGTAAAAACACTTAAAGTGTCTTAATATATTTAAAACAGTAATATTAAAAGATCAAATTCAGTAATCACTATATTAATGATGCATAGTTTACATAGGCAAGCAGATGAGCTCGGAATATGAACGCAATCCACTTAATGGTTCAGTGTTTTCCTTATAATGGTTTTCTATGGGAAACCATTTAACGTGAAACTTTGCATTGTGTTTATATTCTGGGTTCCTATGTTTGCCTGTACAAAATATACATCATCAATAAGATGTTTACTGAATTTCACCTTTTAATATCTGCGTTTTACTACATTACTACTTAATGCAAACTGCTTAAAAATAACTGGCGGTCAGTGGAGCAGGTGGGCGTTCCTATGAGTGTGTGACGTCACGTGAAATCTACCAATAGGTTTTGGCTTTCAAAAGCCAGAGCTGCCTAGGGAGACCTCGGCAAGCCTCTGGTGAAATGACACTTTTATTATAGTAACTGTGTCAGTCCTTACACTAGGGGGCGCTGCTTGGCTGTGCTTTACATGCATTTTCATGCAGTGAGGTACTGCTTTCTAAATAAATGATCACATTTAAGGACAAAGTGCATGTTTTGCCTTGTCATGTGCTTAAGTGTTTGATGACAGCTTTGTGAGGGCCGTGTGCAAGTGTTTATTGAGACTCAATGAGACAAAGACTGATTTAAGACCCATTCTGCCAACTGCTTTACTTGTCGATTTCTTCGCATACCTTATGAACAGCAGTGAGAAGTCAAAAAAAGGAGAGAATTTGCTAAGAAGTGTGTTTTCAGGTAATTTAAATTTTTACTTCATGAGGTAACATCTAATTTGTTCTAGTCAGAAATGTTATTTAATCTGACTAAATCAACCTGACAAATCAGGTTACACCAGTGTAAGTGTACATAAATGAAAACTTCTCTTTATGTAAGTTAGATGTGTGTTTTTATGTTTTTAAAATTTATAAACATGTTTATGTCACACCTGGTCCTGTGACACATTTTATTCCTTTAATGTCTCTACACACAGCACAAAGACAATAAAGCTCTTTTGACTAGACTTGACTTGAAAATAATAATTATTAAATTATAAAACTTTTAAAAAGGTATATCTACTGTAATTTCCACAATATGAATTTAACATATTCACATTAATGTCTAACTTTATAACTTATGCCAAATATGATACAATATTTCATGCCTTATATGCTTTATTTTATGTCAGTTAGGCCTAAACGGTCAGGAGAATATAGGTAAACAGAAGCACTTTCTTGTTTTTTCTTGTCTTTTTTTGTTTGTTTTGTTTTTTTAAACAATATATTCATAAAGTCACTGAACTCTGTTCATAAACATTTTACTGATATGGAAGTAGAAAACAATCTAGAAAACTCCTTTTATAGTTGTTTAAGCCTTATGTAATACATACAGTGTATATATGCATATTAATTATGCTCATAAACCTGATGTATTTCATTGTTTTACATTTGACTGAGAAGCAAACTGTCATAAAGACCTTTAAACTCACCTTGGTGACAAATACATTGTTCCTGTGAATTCCACTAAAACATGTTTTAATTTATTGAGTATTACAGATGCATCTCTTCCCTCCTCTCACTAGGCAGTTCATTTTATATGAAGAGGGAAGCAGATAAAGCCAGTGCCTCC